GTTCTTTTCCTTCCCTCACTTATTTCAAAAGCTGCTTTTGTCAGGGGTAGGCGAATCCTTCAAAGAATATCGCCATTCCGACTAAAGAAAAATTCAACGTTGAGTCATGTTGCCTCTGTTTTCTTACTTGCTTAATAAAACACACACATCTGTGATAAACCACCAAGTAGCCCGCCTCAGGTACCTTAAAATTCAGTTTGTTTCACATAAACTTCATCCATACTTTTGAAAATAACACGCTTTCCAGCAAATTGACGATCTGTACCGTTCGATAGGACTTTTAAATTATTCGATTATTGAGAAGTTCCTGCTATCATGGACAATATGTCTGACTAAGTGCTTCCTTCTTCATCGGAACCTCACTGCTTCCCTTTTCACCATATTGATGTTTTTCAGTTCTCTGTGTTCCCCTTTTATCAGTCCATAACCTGAAAAGCTCCAATCGAACAAACCATTAAATTTACCGCGTTGAAATCTTATCCTCCCTTTACAGTTGGAAGCCATTTTTGTTCTGTGGCTAGGCTGTACTGTTGTTCCCCACTTTTCACTCCCTAATTGTCCAATTTTTAGTTTTATTGTTGTTCGACAGTGATTACGAGCCTTTCTGGAAATCCTTTCAGGCTGAAATTTAGAAAGTCGCAATTTGGCCATGTTATTATTGTCCCATTCACCGCACCGCATACGACATTGTTTCGTCATTCAGATGACCTTACTGATTCCCAGACGTTTTAACAAGACGATAAAGACCCGAAAAATGTTAGCATTGACGTAATAAGCCAATTCTATCTCAACACCCAGGTAAGTGGACAGTGACGCACTCAATCCACCCAACCAGACCAATTTCCTGTGATTTTTAGTGGAACAGGTTGAGTTGGTTGTTGAGTCTGCAATTTATCGATCGGACCTCCAAGCGAGAACTAGATCACCCATGTAGTCCAGTTTGTCCTGCTAGTTACAGAACACTGCACCCCTAGACGTGGCGATTTCTAGCTTTGTTGTGTCTGCGGCGTTGTTTAGTCTTGAGTTGTCATTACAAATCATTTCACGTCTCGAAACAAGTCCAGTTTATCAGAGTCTCCTGGTGCTTTTCCCCAAGACGTTTTACACAATATAGGATGTCTTGTAGTAGACTTTTTAGTCAGGTAACATTGATTACGCCAGTAGGCTTGTAGCACTTGTAAACTGCTCTTTTTCATGCTCAGTATCATCTTTTTTCCTATCATTATCAGTCACATCGCTGTACAAAAGTTTGTTTTACTGAAATACAACCGCTACCGCCCGCGCGTTGGCTCCAACGTGACTTTGAGACTTTTGCTGAGTGACTGTTGTTGTGACCGCCGGTTGGCTATATTTGACCGCTGCTAACACTAAACGTGAACAAACATTTCAGCTACAAACGCTGGACTAATATATTCACGCTTGTGGAATAATATTTCGATCACCGGAGATCTGGGATACCAGGAAGATAGAACTATTCTTGGTGTGGTGGTTCAACGGAATACGGAACTACGGAATCTCCTATTTTGAACTGTGAGTCAAAAATTGCTTGTATTGTTCTCTTTGTGGCTTTGTATCTGGCTTACATCAGTGATTTGTTCAGTTCACTAGAGACTCCATAGGGCCGTTAACCACTACAGGCTATAGTTTACCGAGATGATTCTTAGCTTTGCAATCACCAATCAGTTTTCGAATGAGTACATCTCATTTGAACTCACATTGACGCGTATCTTTCATCTGTTTACATGTTGCATGAGTGTTATTCGTTCATGTAGATTTCGATGCTCATTTTCTGGACAAAGTGTAGTGCTGTGTGTTCAATGTAATGTATGACAGTAGATTTAGTCAAAGGCTCTTGCAGAATGGTTAACTGTTCAGACAACTAGCCGGCAGGTCGCCGGTTCGAACCCCCCCCCATTAGAGTTTTGTGAAGTGCACACCGATTCTAGATCTCACTAAAGACGAAAGAGCTGTACAGTGCCTCTTGGCTTTTCAGCATACAACGATTTCCATTTTAAGACAAAATCTCCAGTGAAGACAACAACTCCTCCTCACACTGGTAACAGAGTGTAATGCGACAAAAACATTTGAATCAAACTGTTTATTTCCTCCGTTTTTGAGCAGCCTGACAAACAGCATGTTGAATTTCGGTATGCTGATACCTGAACAGACCTTTGATTCTTCGGTGTTTGCGTCATGTTAAAGATAAATCAACTTGCTGCAAAAGATGTGCTATTGAGATACAAAAGATAAGCATAATCTCCTGGATGTATGCTCAAAATACCTGCGAAATATATTTATTTGAAAACGAATTTTGTTTTAACGAGAGACTCAAGTGAATGCTAGATGAATCTCCCGCTTGCTGTATTCTTCAACTGAGTGTGCCCCACAAAACCAGTCGTTATGCGGGATATCGTAGTACTTTCTTGACGGAACATGCTAGTTCGTGAAGTGCCCAAAAATGGGGTCCAGTTAGAACGTAAAGTTGACAGAAGCTCGAGGACTGCGCCTATCCGATGGATGCCAAAAAGGGGAAACTGGTCTTGGGCTCTCGAAATGTTGTCAGCAACCGTATGAGTAGTGTGCTTTGTCGATAGAAAGTCAGGTTTTGTTGCCTCTATCGCGAAACACATTTTTTAGTCATTCAAGCCACCACAAGGTTGCCGAAGAAGTACACAGATGAAATGAAGCTTATGATTGACTCGTAATTGATCGATAATTGCAGGAGAAAAGTGGAGCGGAATATTTTTGGTGCGAATATTAATGCGTAGAGCACTCAGACTTTGCTACGAAGTGCCCCAGGGCCAAAGTAAAGGGATGGGGGATGAATCTCTTTTTTACGCCACACCCCAACTGAATGTGTGGAACAAAGGATAGCTGGCGGGATATGCCAGTATCGCAACATATTCTGTGGGCGTAACAGACTACTCAGCTTGGTTTCAAGTAGAATATAAGTTTATCGGACACTTGGGGACTTCATCTACATCATGAGCCCGAACTAGAAGAGCGAATCTTTCGTTGGTTGCAATCAAAATTGTGAACATTTTCTCCTAATGGAAATGATATTTTGCTTTGTTTTGTACGAAAATTTCACACCTGGATGAATTTGCCGAAACAGCATGAAACCATTACGATTGCCCCAGCAGAAACAGCCGAATGTAATGTACGATGGCATGTTCAACTATGAAAACTATTGAGTTACAAATGTAGAAAAGAATCAGACAGGTCATCCGTACGCCATGACCTTGACTGAATTCTTTCGTTACCTGATTCCACAAAACCGACTGGAACCCGGAATCTTGCAGCGCGGCGATACACACTGACCATACTGACTAGATTTCGTCAACGTTCGATGATGAAATCAAGAGCTTGAGTGAGCCTGCTCGTTGTGATGTTTCTTCAGGTTTGTCGCTTCTTAGTCACAAACCTGAACACTGGTCAGGTCGCTAATGTTGAGGAGCACTGCTTGCCTAAGAGGTGTATATTGACCAAATGAGAACATTTGTCGAAACTAATCAAGGCAGTCGGATACGAACTTCTCAAATGGTAATAGGCAAAGGTGTTTGAGTAGAACAGCAACAAATTTTGTAATCATGAATATAAGGATGGCGACTGCAAAATAACAAACTAACAGAGTACGCCTAATTGCATTTTCATTTGTTGTGATTAAGTATCTATGGCACCAGCGTGTGCATTTGTGATAATGGTGACCAGAATTTTCATTACATACGTCTAATTCGTCGTCAGGTCCATTGAGCAATCGTGCTCCTGGCAACATTATGGAATGCAGGTAGCTCGGGCGCACTGCTTGGTTGTTGGTCTGTTCGCCGAGCTCAAAGGTTTCATCAACAATCGAGTTGATATCGTCAGTGCGGTGTTGAGTGGGTGAGTGGGAGAGTTGAGTAACCCACTCAACCCCGCGCTGACGATGTCATCTCGATTGGTGATGAAACGTTTGTAAACGGGCCAGCCCTGTCCTGGTTTAATTAATCTCCGAAGACGGAAGCACTGTACTCGAGTTTCGTTCTTATCCTTGGACGTATCCGGCTATGCAACATGCGGGCATCTTCCCACTATTTTATCAGTGCACACTGGACACAGCGTTCCGTTTGCTGTCTGACTGAATGACAGATATTGGTCGAGGGTTTCGGATGACTGAGTTGGAAGAGAGAAACTATCGCAAAGTTTTAAAGGTATACAAAAACCGGAGACAGTTTTTGGCAAAAAAAATGCGAAGACGCAACTACAACTCTCCGTCGTACTATACCTAATGTGCCCAGGATTGCATACATCGATTCATCGTTCACACGGAAGCGAAAAGTTCTGGTGCAGCTGATCTTTTCTGATTCAAATCATGCATTGCTTAAATGATGCGACTGACCGAGAACGGACCGGATGTATTCCCACCAGTGTTCTACGCTATGAATAGCGTTCGTGACCCAACTGGTCAGCAGTGATACATTGTTCAGGCGCACAGTGGTTGTGCAAGCTATTCTCACGGTCCGAACGAACATAGAATGGCGATCAGGACAACTGCATGGTCAAACACCCCAGCAAATTGTTTACCACGTCCGCAGATGCAAACGGACTATGAACGACAGGCTTCGGAAAGCTTAGTGATTAAGGCACCGACTCAATAACCTGACGATCCGTGGTTCGAATCCAACCCAGGCATCTCGACTGCTCCAGTCTAGACTTGGGCAAACTGACAGTTCCTCACCTGGCGTGGTAGCTGGACAGATAGAGGGGGTTACAACTGAACGTACACCATCATCACCATATTGATAACGAAAAAAGCACAGTCATGAAACGGTATTTTCTTCGAAATTTCGGCTGGACTCATCTTAAGTAATAAAGTAGCGGATAATTTCTACAGTAATATTGCTGGCCTTCTTGACGTCTTCAAACCTTCCCCCGGTTGGTCAGACATTACTGAAAAATATTAGATTTAGAGAGCACAAAGCAAGTCTTCACTCGAACGGATCTAGAATGTGTCGTAGAACATGACTAGGAGTATCTTAAGCGAGAAATTCGGTGGGGATTCAGGTGAGTCTCACGTGAAGACCAACCGATGTCCAAAGGGGTGTATTTCTCAAAGAACTCGACAGAAACATTTCAGTCACAGCTTTCTTCAGTCACCTCAAACAAAGTTCCTCTCATGTGGCGAAAGAAAGAGACTGTTGTATTGGCGTCTAGACTCACGAGGTTTCTGTCAAACGTTCAGCAGCTCACGGCGGGTTTTGCCCTTCTTGGGGTTCATCAGGGTCCCCTAGTTTCCATCAAACTTAAATTCTAGTTAAACCATAATTGTGAAGCTTTAAAAACTACTCCCATTTGTATATCAGTTTGATTTCGATAGCAGACTGAAATGAATCCGGTTGAATGTCTCCCTCATGAGTAGTGTGTTACGTCTCGATATCTCGAATACCAACTGGAAGGTGAGGCAGTCCAGTGCAGGACATTTCTGTTGCAGCGTAACTTCAGAAACGAGAGATTCAGTTAGATGCAGTTGGGGCTCTTATCAAAACCAAATTCGTCTGCAGATACGAGTATTCGTAGAAGAGGATCTGAAGAGTTCGCAGAGTTGTAGGCACCCAACCAGCTGCGTTCTGATGATATGTGCTCAAAAGATTTGCAAGTTAACTGTCAAGCTTGGGGAACAGATCAGTAGTCACGTGACCAATAACCGATGAACCGTAGACAAGTGAAAACCAGCCAAATGATCAAGTCGTATCGAAAGCGGCCGAAACCACTTGTTGGTATCGCATTGCATAAACCAGAAAACAACTCGGTTATAGAAGTATAGTATGGTGAAATCGATTATCCGTTCCCAAGAGAGTTCATTGCTTCTATGCTAACCAGTTTGCTTACAAACAAAGTTTACTTGGTCTACCGTGTACTGTTAGTCACAAGCCGGGCCAAATGGACGTCTTCAGATGGTTGACTGGAGAACTAAAAGTGATACTGAAGGCTGCGATCGGCTACAACTGGGCATTTTGCGATTGTGACTTCTGGTCGTCCTCCTGGATTCATTTACGTGTATGCTCACCTTATACCTCCCCTAAGATACTTCATTCTCCTGAGAGTACATCTGTTTCCAAGGCTAAGACCGGACTTGAACATCTTGCTACCATAAGGTACGAATGTGTGTGGCTCCATCGACAAATACCGAGTGCACGGTGGTACGTTTTCGTTTAAGTGCCGGACTTTTGCTGCGGTGGGGGGGAGGGGAATACCATTATTTCTGAATGGTAGGCAAAAGCGAACCGGTTACTGTGTGGACAACTAAGCCAAATCACTTGTTTTCTTTAGTTTCAATTGCTCCACCACAAGTCTCCAAAGGCAACCGTTTTCACACGGACTCGGAAAACCACCCGTGTTCCGTGCTCAACCCTGTCTTACAACTTTGTGCGATCTATGGAACAAGGTTTTCCATTGGGGCCTACTTTTATCAGATGGATCGCATACTTTCTAAGTGATACTTATCCACATGAGTCTCATGTATGCACCTCGAGATAGCTGACTGTCTTGGCGTCTAACAAACCCAGTTTTCCCGTTACCAACTTCAAAAAGAACGCTGCTGAGTACGCGGGTTTTCAAAATACCGCCTATTTACCAATGTCGTAAAGCGTTTTCCTGGATTCCTGCGGGCAACTTGTGTTCAAGACGATCCATGTACTTGTCTGTAGGCACCTACTCGGTAGAGTTTTGCGTTCAGATGCAATCCGGTTGAAGATCGAAAGCATGTGCATGAAAATGGATGTAGTCATCGCGTTCAATCATTTCGGATGTTGATCAAACTAACCAAAAACACGTCTACCGTATCCGGGTACTGTACACCCGTGTATCTCTGTTGCCCAATCCACCAGCTGGGTAGTAAGGTGTGTGCGGCTTATTTCAAAGGCCTTACCGATTCTGAGTGCCTATACTATAAACTTTCCAAAAATCAATATCAGATGGTCTAGACATTTGAAGTAGAAACGGACGGACGTGTTCCTCGTGAAGTCACCAAATGCTACGTGTAAATCATCATCGCCTAATGTAAACTTTATTTCCAAAAAACGCACACACTGTGTGACCACATAGTGCACAATGTATCTAACTCAGCTCAGACAGTTCGCATAATGTCAGTGTACAGAAACCGTGGTTTTACGTGAGCAATAAATTGTTGCGCTACGGGCCACCCGCTAGTGACGTCTTGACGACAGAGGTTCCGACGACATTGTCCAGTCCTCTCGCCTCAAAACCACTGTTTAGTTAGGTGTATGTGTGGCGATTCAAAGTAACCATCGGCTCTGTTTGCACCTTTGCAACTTTGCCAGTGTGCGTCACGGTGTCTTAGTCGAATGAAGACCGAGTTCCAAAACGCTCACGAGGTGAAAAGGAAGTCAGCAGTGTTAGACTTGCAGAACACAAGTATCTCGGTATAAGAAAGTATACATAAGGTTGTTACTTCTTGTGGCTCATCAGGTGGGCATGGCGTCACTCTTGACATAAAGAAGAGGTATGGCCAAAAAGCATACCATTTAGTTGGATTTCTGAATCGCGACGAAACGAAGGAATGCAGTGTTTTCAACTGCCCCTGTACTCAGTTTCCTTCACGCTGTACTGGATCTCCTCTCATTTGTGTCAATAATTGTCATAGAAAGACTTCTTAGACCTCTGGTCAAGATGTTTTGTGTCTGTTCAAACGTACAGAGGAAAGGCATCTTCGTTGAGTGCCTAGCCTTAATTCAAGGTGTTGTCTTTACTTGAAAAAAAAACAGACAAATTGGTCATCACCATCACCGACGGTGGAAAAATTGGTTGGTTTGCTGTCTTACAACGATGGCGGTTTATTTGAATAAAGCCGTACAATTGGGAAAAAGAGGGAAATGGAATTAGGGCTATCCGTGGTGCTTGCATATCAAACACCTAGTAAGACAGTCTGGGTAGCGTGGGTTAATCACGCTGCTGATCAGCCGCTTGTGGCTAAGTCTTCAAACTGTCTGCCGGGAGATCACGAGTTCGGGACTCCTGACTGAAGTTTCGTGACATACGAACTCTTGAATATCTCCTTTGAGGATGAAACAATTGTGCAATGCTTCTCGGTTTAGTTGCACAGATTTTTTATTTTTACCGGAAGAAATTTCCGGAATCCTCTCACGAAGCCAGCAGGCTGGATAGACACTGAGAGCACAAATGCCGGTGATATCGGTTAGCTGCCATGTTTCTCAGTGTCTCCAGCAAAGCGCGGAGAAATCCTCGTGGCCCCCTCCTGGAAGGCCAACAAGAAATTGGTGCTTCTGACCAATTATCATAGCTCTCATGTGTACAGTTAGGCATCAAGATCGTTGGTATGACTATTGGTATCTGTGATTAAACAGAAGAATAAAATAATCCTCTTTTTTGTCTCGTAAAAATGTTAGACTACCATACTTGGCCCACATCTGACTGAGATGCCATGGCAGCAAGTGTGTGCTTGGCCCACATGTGACTGAGATGCCTTGGCAACAAGTGTGCAAAGATGCAAACTTGTTTAGTCCCTCGATCGATAATACCGTGAAACAGGACTGGCGAAGCGTCAGTCACTAAAATACATCAAAATGATGCACAAAACGTTTTGGGCGCGGTTACTGAGAATTATCGTCGAGATCTCCCTCACCGAGACAGCGCCTTGGGTGAAATTGTTACACCTGTTGTTCAGTTAACTCTGGGAATGATCAGTGATTAGATTCTACATAGACCGTCCAAAGGTCATTCAATTCAGCTTGCGTAAGTAGGCGTGTGATCTAAACTAAACCAAACTAACTCGATTTAATCTAACCGGACCTATTTGGTTTTATAATGGTTCAAACCCCAAAGTAAATCACTATATAGGTACCTGCCTACCGGTTCTTATCGCCCCCAAAATACTTGTGAACAGTTTCGCTGTGGTGTTCCCCGTGTATCGATTAAGCTTTCACAGTGGAGACAAACAAACGAGGGAATAATTCGGAAGGCTCAGCCTCCTGTTCCATTACATAGAACCAAAATTAGACCTTTTGAAGTGCAAAAATCGATACAACTTGGGAGAACATTCACTATCCCTTCAAGTGTGACAATGATAGGGAAAATGCGACGGCAGTGAGAGAAGGGTAGATATTTGGCTGCGATCAGATAAAACCACTGATACGAAGAGTGTATTGATACATACGAAGAGTGTATTTACTTCAAAGCTCAAGACAGCACAGTGGCTAAGACCCGAACTCACTGACGGAATGTCCGTGGTTCAAACCCAACCTCGATTTACCGACTGCTCCCGTCTAGGCTTTGGCAACCTGGCCTATCTCCGTGCTTCATTCAGGCAAGAGGACAGCTAGATACCAAAATGGTAGTACAGCTGAACTATTCTTGTTACCGTTCTTATCTGTTCGATCCTAGTGGCGGCCGAAGTAGTTGCAATTCGACTCACTCTTTCGCATCAAAAGTTTCAGGTGAAACCGGGGGCCTGGGCTGGACCAACACAGGCTCAAGTCAAAGTATCCCCAATAATGACTAGTAATTTTGAATTGAGACTTCGTCCTTCCAACGAAGGACAAGCTATGTTCAAAAGCAGAGAAGTACTGTGTGGCTGTTTCATTCTTATTGTAACTCATCAGTGTTGTCCACCTCAAGCTCGCGACCTTCAGCCAATTACCCAGTTGGAGAATAGTGTGACGAACTCGTATTTAGACAGGAAATATCATCTCTCGTCTATTGGTCACGGGAACCACACCACGTGACCATGTAAGGGATGACTTACCGAGTGATGGCTTTTCAAGTGGATGCTCCACTCATGGTGGATGGGGTAGTCTTGTAATTTCCACGGACAGGAAGACCATCCGTAAGTAACTGTCGGATTTCTGCGACGATTTTGTTGACTGCTCCAATCGACCAGTTGTGTCACAACTTGCACCTCACCCAAGCCCATATGTGCCCTATTCTTGTGTACTTGACATGACCGCATCGAAATCATATAATTGCAACCTGGATGTTCCAAAATTTCAGTAGGCATATTTTCTTTGGATGCCACCTACTCACTTTAA